GCCCGAAGAATCTCTTCTATCAAATTATATTTCTCGGGATGCCTATTTTTAAATTCATACGGGCGGAAGTATTTATAGGACATAGTTATAAGGCAACCACATACATATTTTAATTAGCGGCTGCCATAGTCGCCACTTGGGGTCGTAGGTGGCGCTGTTATCATATATTGGTCCAAATCGAGCCGTAACTTGTCGTACTTTAAGCACGGTACCTGGCCACGGTATCTAAGCGCGTGGTATCTGACGTGATAAAATGTCATCTAGTTGGCTCGCTGGTACCGCGTTTGTTACTAGTGTGTGGGAGCGGCCTCTCCGCGCAGCCAAGTACTCTGTCTAAACGGTCTCAGCACAAAATATGGAGGGTGGAGGTTACTGTTCTTGTTCATCGACTGCGATTTAGAAAAGAGTAACTTACGTTGCTAGCATCCTACACGGTGGTCACCCTGCACAGGAGCTTCGTAGAAGAATCACTTGAGAATGGAGCTGGTATCTGTCAAATAAGCTGCGATCTGCTAGCTGATTGAATTCGACTTCACTGCTGTTGCACGCTCGAACATCCGCGTCCAGAACAATATCTCAATTCCTCCGGCATAGTTGCTTCCTTCACAAATGCATCACTTGGGTTAAATGACTGCAGACTAAAAAGACAGTCTTTAGATGAAATTGGTGCTTCAAGAAAATGGAGGGAAAAGTCTAGTCTCTACAAAGGAAACTGAACATTCTGCTTTCAAAAGTTTCTCTTTAGAACATGAGGAGCGAGCGCCTGTGGACGATTATGTATATTTCCAATCGAAACCAGTAAAGCATCAAGTCCACGGCGTAGTAGTTAGAGCGTTTCACTTCTATCCAACAAGCTGGCGAGTTTGAGCTTTAGCGGTCGCACCGCCTGAAGTTGGGTATAGTTGGTAGATGACAGCTTAAAAGTCAGAAACGACCATTTCCATCTCTGTTGTCTTTTTCGATAATATATTCCTACTTATATGAAGATGCAATGCTTGTAAATAAGCACAACATTTTGCGAACGAATAATGCCCACTGCGTAAATTTTCATAGTTTTTCCTAAGCTCGTCGCCAGATAAACACAGTTAAAACGATATCTATGGAAACATTATACAATACGGGCCAAAATTCGCATAACACCATCAAGTCTGCATGAAAACCCTTTTAGTTCGCGAAGCGTTTACCCAACGGACCCGCAAATTATACTGCGTGAATGGAAAAATGAATCCTTAAAAGGAGACAAATTTCCATGTATAAAGTTTCATTTATTATCTAAGACCTAATGTGTTTTACCGAAAACTGTCAAATCCAAAAAGGGCTGTACGACAGGTCAATGATAAAAAGTCGTTATATAAGTGACAAAAGTGTAAAAAAAATAAGATAAATGGACGAAATGAGTAAAAGTAATAAATACGTAACACACTTACATTTTGTTGAGTGTCATTTAGCGTTTATAACAGCAGTAATTCGGGAGGGCATAGAGATAACTATAAAGTGGATCCGACAAAGCAAAGGGAGACCGGAATGGCCATTTCTGGCT